TCTCTCTCTCTCTCTCTCTCTCGCTCGCTCACCAGGGCATAGTATCACAAAAATAAAAACAGTAATATTGTTTCATTATTAAAAGGCAAAAGTCTTTATTGTCACTTTTGATCAGTTTAACAAATCATTGCTGAATAAACATATTAATTAAAAAAATTATAATAATAAAAACTCACCCCAAACTTTTGCATGACAGTGTATATACAGTGTATATAAATAAATAAATACAGATATTAATTCAGCTTATATTATCTAAAACAAGCAGTAATGTCTCGTTTTCGTTTCAAGCATGTTTACATGTTTTTACTGGAAACCTCAGTTGATTCTGACATACTCTAATAAGTACCAAAATTCATAAAACACACCAATATTGGTTGAAATTACACGTTTTAATTATATATGCATAATATATACTAATCCAAACATATTTATATTCATCATTTAATCCCCATCTTCAGCGAAATCATCCACTGAGCATATTGCATTGTATCTAAATAGCAGGGTGGTCAATGTCTCGACAGTATAGAAGTCTATTTAATGACTGCAAATTAAAATAGATTGTGTAAAGCTGACACAAATGAAGCAAAACCTTTTACAACAAAACCGTATGGTTACTCTTGATAATGAGACTCTGAATCAGATCATAATCACTGCTCAAAAGGTGATAGTTCACCCAAAAATAAAAATTCACCCTCCACCTGTTCCAAAACCTTGTTGAACACAAAAAGTAAGATATTCTGAAGAATGTTAGTGATCAAGTAGTTGCCGGCAGCCATTGACTTCCACAGTATGGAGGGGGGGAAATGCTATGGGAGTCAATGGCTACCAGCTATTGTCTGGTTACCAACATTGACAGAACGCTTTTTTGTTCAGTGAACTGTCCCTTTAAGGACGGTACTGACAGTCATTCCTCATAACCCCTAAACACCAGCATTTAGAAAGACATTATACTTACTTCTTAACACTGTCTAGAATACATAAAATGCATAACACTTACTAATGTGTCTTAATAGCCTCCTATGTTTCCTATAGCATACTGAACACTATATAAGGGGTGTTGTAACTGAGTTGTTAAAGATCTAAGCTGGTGACTGAAAGGTTTAAATTTCAAGAGTCATGATCACCATTGTGCACCATGAAAATGACCAAAAAACACAGATAAAGCATCAGCTACACGCTCAAAGTGAATCTCTATGTGCTCTTTATTATGTTGCATTAGTGCAAAGCTTCCTAGGTAATAAAAATGAGATCAGTATAAATATATATAAAATATTTTTCATTCAGAACAAAATCACTTGAAGCACAATCATAATTGCATTTTCTGAACTCATAGGTACAAACCTCCCAGAAGGATCTGAGAGCATCATTAAAGACGCTCAAAATAATGACTTAATGTGTTATTAGTCATAGAGCCTTCCGAGAATAAAAACAGCACAGCTGCATTGGGCTCTTATCATCCTCTGCTCATTTACATAAACCATTCCAGTGACAAATGCCTTATTTACAAGTTTCTTCTTCTTTAAAAAAAAAAAAAAGAACAAACTGGAAGCAGTTGTCTCGAAGCAGACTAACACTATATGAAACACAGAGCTATAAACACATGAAATATGAGATATGACCTTTGAAAATACAGTTAAAGATATTTAGATGTATAGAGCCCATCAATTGTACTAAGTGGCAAAGCTGGATATATAAATATAGCAAACATGGGTGTGCGTGCGTGCGTTTGTGTGTGTGTGTGTGTGTGAGGTAGGCACACAGTGAGACGGCATATTTAGCATTTCAAACCCACCACACTATCTTGACCTTTGACCCCTAAGGCTGTGTGTGTGCTGCTATTATAAACAGCACTGCCGACCTTACATCCTCCTCTTAAATACTTTATCTGATACAAACAATAACCTCAAATTACTTCTATTACACACAAATAACCGTAATTACACATTTGCCATTAACAATCTGGCAGATGCAGTGCCATGACACAGCGATGAGATATTATTTAATGTTTATGTCATATTTAGTACAGTATCAACAAAGTCACAGACAAACGTCCATCAGATTTTCATTGAAAAAACTCACTCAACAAGTTATTACCGTGTTGACAACATTACTGTGAAGTACAGCTTTCTGTTGATATCTCGGCATGATTCCAGCTGGTAGGCGTACAGTAAATCTATATATGAGGCAGTTGTAATCGGTTTGAATGTTTGAGGTTATGATAATGTGGTGATTGGTTTGGTGATGTTTTGTTGCAGGCGGGGAGAAGGCACGTTCAGTGCTGCTGACGCCAGAGAACGGATTGTATCCTACAGCCACGGCACGATCCGCTGACCCTCTGGTAAGACTATGGTGATCATTTTCACTGTTTTATTTTATTACACTATATTCAATATGTTTCAATATATGAGGGGATTTATAATGTGACTATAATCTTCCATCACCAGTGAAATGAAACAATACTGGAATGTCATTTCCATTCAAGATCTTTTAAATCCATTAGTACATAGCAGGATCCCAGTGGGTTTGTTTCCTAGCTTATTAATCTGCCATATTTATAACTTCAGTGAACTGTTAAATCTCTATGTGCTCTTTATTATGTTGCATTAGTGCAAAGCTTCCTAGGTAATAAAAATGAGATCAGTATAAATATATATAAAATATTTTTCATTCAGAACAAAATCACTTGAAGCACAATCATAATTGCATTTTCTGAACTCATAGGTACAAACCTCCCAGAAGGATCTGAGAGCATCATTAAAGACGCTCAAAATAATGACTTAATGTGTTATTAGTCATAGAGCCTTCCGAGAATAAAAACAGCACAGCTGCATTGGGCTCTTATCATCCTCTGCTCATTTACATAAACCATTCCAGTGACAAATGCCTTATTTACAAGTTTCTTCTTCTTTAAAAAAAAAAAAGAACAAACTGGAAGCAGTTGTCTCGAAGCAGACTAACACTATATGAGACACAGAGCTATAAACACATGAAATATGAGATATGACCTTTGAAAATACAGTTAAAGATATTTAGATGTATAGAGCCCATCAATTGTACTAAGTGGCAAAGCTGGATATATAAATATAGCAAACATGGGTGTGCGTGCGTGCGTTTGTGTGTGTGTGTGTGTGTGAGGTAGGCACACAGTGAGACGGCATATTTAGCATTTCAAACCCACCACACTATCTTGACCTTTGACCCCTAAGGCTGTGTGTGTGCTGCTATTATAAACAGCACTGCCGACCTTACATCCTCCTCTTAAATACTTTATCTGATACAAACAATAACCTCAAATTACTTCTATTACACACAAATAACCGTAATTACACATTTGCCATTAACAATCTGGCAGATGCAGTGCCATGACACAGCGATGAGATATTATTTAATGTTTATGTCATATTTAGTACAGTATCAACAAAGTCACAGACAAACGTCCATCAGATTTTCATTGAAAAAACTCACTCAACAAGTTATTACCGTGTTGACAACATTACTGTGAAGTACAGCTTTCTGTTTTTCTCGGCATGATTCCAGCTGGAAGGCGTACAGTAAATCTATATATGAGGCAGTTGTAATCGGTTTGAATGTTTGAGGTTATGATAATGTGGTGATTGGTTTGGTGATGTTTTGTTGCAGGCGGGGAGAAGGCACGTTCAGTGCTGCTGACGCCAGAGAACGGATTGTATCCTACAGCCACGGCACGATCCGCTGACCCTCTGGTAAGACTATGGTGATCATTTTCACTGTTTTATTTTATTACACTATATTCAATATGTTTCAATATATGAGGGGATTTATAATGTGACTATAATCTTCCATCACCAGTGAAATGAAACAATACTGGAATGTCATTTCCATTCAAGATCTTTTAAATCCATTAGTACATAGCAGGATCCCAGTGGGTTTGTTTCCTAGCTTATTAATCTGCCATATTTATAACTTCAGTGAACTGTTAAATGTATTAGTGAGAAGTTATGTGGGTACCTGTGAGCTGGACAATCTGTTCCTACTTAATAACAGCATTGTGTGTCTCTACTCACAAGGCCACCTTTGGACAAGACAATATTCAAAGACTCTCAAATATCTAGGCTCATATGTACCGCTGGTTTATTTATGTATTTATTTATTTATTTTACTTTTTAATTAATTAATTTTTTAAGACAAAGTACTTCCAGCACTTTCAAACATGAATGCATAAATGCTTTGTCCATATGCTAGTGTTTCTCCTATATAGGCAGACCTGCTGTAAGAGTCTCTGTCTTTCTGGTAGACGCGGCTGTGATTTCATTATTACTTCTAAAGTACAAGTAATTTGGCTAAAAACAGTTTGGAGGAGCAGGTCCAGTACACACCAGCAGAATATAGCCCAGAATATGAACGCAACGCACTTAGTTGCACGTTAAGCATTTTCTTGGTGTAGATAATGCTTAACGTGGCTTAGTGAAAGGAGACAGTGATATAAAAAACACATCTAGTATTCAGATTATTAAAATGTATTAAAAGGCAAGCAGATGAACCCGGAATATGAACGCAACGAAATGTAAGTGCTTTCCTTCCAGAGAAAACGCTTAACGTGCAACTCATATTCTGGGCTATATTCTGCTTGTCTGTTAATGGTATGCTTTAGTAACAAAGTGTGTGTTGAAAGCCAAATTAACTTGTTTCAGAATGTCCTGTTTATCATTATATACCACTTTCCTGTGACCAATGTGTTTATTAAGTCATTAAGTCAATTTCGATTTAGCAAGTCATAAATCAAAATTCTGAGATAAAAAGTCGAATTATGACTTAAGTTTCGATTTAGTCATAATTTCGACTTTTTATCTCATAATTTTAATTTAGTAAGTCATGAATGGGTGCCGTCAGAATGAGAGTCAAAAAAGCTGATTAAAAGAGCCTAGTCTCATGAAAATACGTATAAATTGCAGATTTATTTTTTTTTGTATTTTTTTTTTGTATGTTGCGTTCTATTTATACGAAGAAATTGACATTGGCGTGCATACGATATTGACGTGCATATAATACACAGTTTTTGCATGCTTATGATACTCACTTTGTTGGCCATGCATATGATACGCATTTTGGCATACATATAATACGCACTTACACCCTTAAACCTAACCATTGCATTGGGTAATCCATACCACTCCAGTCCATCAATTAACATCTTGAGAAGAGAAAAGCTGTGTGTTTATAATTAAAAAAATCCATCACCAGACATTTATAACTTTGTTGCTAAAATAAGAATCCTCTATCCATAATATTGCTTTCTCCAGTGAAAAAGTGGTCTGGTCTGAATCAGGACAAAAGGCTGCACAGATTGAGCATAGTTTACAAGCCAAAACAGCTCTAAACAAATATGTGGGTGGATTTTGATGTGAGAGACAACAGGGGATGGGTTTTTTCAGTGAAGCAAGCAACATTATGGATTACGGACTCTATTTTGTCCAGAAGTGATGGTTTGAAGTCTTGATGGATTTGTTTCTTACAAACACGCAGCTTTTGGCTTCACAAGAAATTAACTGATGGACTGGAGTGGTGTGGATTACTTGTGGATTATTGTTTTGTTTTCATCAGCTGTTTGGACTCTCATTCTGACGGCACCCATTCACTGCAGAAGATAATTCATAATCATAAGCCCATCCACCAAATTCAGCATGTTAATGTTGTTAAGATGCAGAGAGACCAAGATATAAAAGTTGAGGGTGCAGGCAAGGATCCAGATAGATGCGGTTTATGTGCATCATTAGACAAGTTCAAAACCAGAACTCAGAAACCAAGGTAACAGTAAATAGTAGGGAAACATCAAACAGAGAATAGTCAGACACTGCCAGAGCAGCACTAGGAAAACACTAGCAAAGCAAGCAATAGGACTAAAGGTGGTTAAATACCGAGAGTCAAAAATGAAGCTGATAATGATGCTAGTTATAAGTTGGTGCCGCACATCAGATATGTGACCCTGGAGCACAGAACCAGTCTTAAGTCTCTGGGGGATATTTGTAGCAATAGCCAACAATACATTGTATGGGTCAAAATTATAGATTTTTCTTTTATGCCAAAAATTATGTTCCATGAAGATATTTTGTAAATTTCCTACAGTAAATATATCAAAACTTAATTTTTGATTAGTAATATGCATTTCTAAAAACTTAATTTGGACAATTTTAAAGGCGATTTTCTCAATATTTAGATTTTTTTTGCACCCTCAGATTCCAGATTTTTAAATAGTTGTATCTCAGCAAAATATTGTCCTATCCTAACAAACCATACATCAATGGAAAGCTTGGAGGATATATAAATCATCTCCATTCAAAAAATACCCTTATGACTGGTTTTGTGGTCCAAGAAAGATTGGTGTAGGTTTACACTAAAACATTTTTCACTCAGTAACTGATAGCAAATTTCACTAATAATTACAAAGAAACAAAGTAACACACTGAATTAAATGTGAAATGTTGAAGTGGAGCAGTATTTTCTTCTAAAATATACTCCAGTAATCTTTATTTACAACCTTAAAAAACATTTTTCCATGTATATCTAGCTGCTAAATGTATCAAACAAAGTTTTGAATCGATTTTGAAGACAAATTTGTATGAATTTGTACATTTGAATTTGTATTTATTTATACGGTTTCATATGACCTGCTCAATACTCAAGGTTTTGGGGGTTTTATGCTTTAAGAGTTTAAGACTTTTATGCTTCCATTTTGAATTACAAATAGTGGGTTTTTCTATGAATCACATTGTACAAATTTGTACAATGTTACTTGTTAAAATACTTACATTTTCTTGTGGGATTGTGTTGTTGCACCTGAACTTCTGGAAACCATGCAGTAGCTGGGTAATAAGATGTCAGCAATTTCAGGTTAATGAATGGTCCTACCACTTAACTAACATTACAGACCTCTAGAACTACAAAGAAAATGATCAAGAATAGTGTGAAACTGACAGGATAGAGGTAACACACTGAATTAAATGTGAAATGTTGAAGTGGAGCAGTATTTTCTTGTAAAATATACTCCAGTAATCTTTATTTACAACCTTAAAAAACATTTTTCCATGTATATCTAGCTGCTAAATGTATCAAACAAAGTTTTGAATAGATTTTGAAGACAAATTTGTATGAATTTGTACATTTGAATTTGTATTTATTTATACGGTTTCATATGACCTGCTCAATACTCAAGGTTTTGGGGGTTTTATGCTTTAAGAGTTTAAGACTTTTATGCTTCCATTTTGAATTACAAATAGTGGGTTTTTCTATGAATCACATTGTACAAATTTGTACAATGTTACTTGTTAAAATACTTACATTTTCTTGTGGGATTGTGTTGTTGCACCTGAACTTCTGGAAACCATGCAGTAGCTGGGTAATAAGATGTCAGCAATTTCAGGTTAATGAATGGTCCTACCACTTAACTAACATTACAGACCTCTAGAACTACAAAGAAAATGATCAAGAATAGTGTGAAACAGTGAAAATAATAGCAAGGGTTGTTATTTCTACCAATCCACTACTGACACTTAACAGCAGCTAATTTCCCCTCAAGCTGGAATCGTATTGATTGAAAGTGGCCTTCACTTTCAACAATCACACCAGGTCAACTCACTTACTAATTACTGAATGGGAATAGATGAAAGACACACTCCTTTAACCTCTTCTTCGAGATGAGGTTAGACAAATATGACCTCTGAAAAACCATATCCTGAAACATCCAGCCATCACTTGAAACAGGCCTAATGTTTGCGAAATTCCATCGAAATATAAAAAAAAATATG